CATACAAAACTTTGCGAGGCATTATGTGTCCAAACTGAATATTTATAAGCTTGGGCACTGGTCCATGGGAACACGCTTTTAACTCGTTCAAAATTGTCCGCTTTCATTGCCCTTGGAAGCTTGAGGTTCTTGAACCTAAAGTGTTTCGGGCAGTGGCGAATGCCCAAACTACCTTTTAAGGTTTTAAAACGTGTAGGCTTATCGTTATCAGTGTACCACTTTCAGCCAGATCGTGAGAGTCCTTGGTGTCGATGTACAGCTTGATACAAAACTGCTGCTGGTTTGACAGGCGTTCCGAAACTTGACTTTAGCTGGGTCGGGCATGCCATAACGCCGAAGTTCTCAGCACGCTACAAGGTCATGCTTCTAATGGGTAATTCGAAGTAAAATGGTAGCAAACTATTTTTATGGATATGCATGCTAGGATGAAAAACTCAACGCCAATTTCGATGGTTGCATGGGTGATTACAGGTTCAGATGAGTGCAGGCACATCCGTTAAAATGTATCGTAGAAATGGATGCTTGACCACCATCGGAAATAATAAACTTGTGATGAGGTGTTGCAGTGGGTTTTAAAATTTGGTTAGATGGTACCCAAAGTGTCTGAAAAGAACTGGTTAATAACTGGTTAATAACTGGAACTGGTTAACTGGTAAAGCCACTGGTTAATCAATGTGTACCCATTTGACGAGCAGTGGCAGTTCCCGGCTCACCGAACTAACTGCTCACTGTTCCGCTGGTTGTATGGAAGGGGAGCAAATTACATTACCCGGCACGTTTCCTGGAGATGGTAAGCGCGTTTCTGAGACGCGTGGCTCTGATGCCTGGTGATGGTGACGCCTTCCCGACTGCATCGTGCTACTACCAGTTGGCCTGGACGCAAAGGCTCCAGTGCATCTCTGCATGTCTCGATACGGACGCATGACGCCTTGCTTGTACACTTCTACGACCCTCTTGGTGTAATTGCTGCTTGCTCCGCCTCCAGCATCTTGTAAATATATCATTATCTGGTACTGTGTTGCATATCTGCTTCGTATTTCTATTTTGCATATGCTTTACATCCGGTACTTCACAACATATGCACTGGACTTAGTAGTTTGCTCGGGGGGGGGGGGGGGATGTCCTCAGGCCTCCAGACGACCAAGAAAAGCAACAAGCCAAAGCGAAGCCCGTGAGCAGACCAACTCATTGCATTCTCCAGAGGCGTTACGCTGTTGCTGGTGACTTATATGTCGGCTCGCCGGGTGAATTGGATCATTAATGAGCTTGCTACATTACCCTTGATCTCTTTGTATTTTTTCGTAAGGCTCCTCTATATGCTAACATGCCTGGGCACTCTTGATCGACCAGCGGCCCTCCATAGATTCCTCCCACTTGCCCGAAAGGTTCTACACGCTTTTGGTGGGCCCCCCATACGTTGGGGTATATTCAGTTACTCAGGGACCCTTCACATTGGTCTCGGGTTCCTCCACCTGCTCGGTGGGCGTTCTGCTGTTGCTGGTGCCAAAATAAGGTAAGGCACTGAGCCACTAGATTCTCAGGGGCCCTCTGCATTGATCTAGGGTTCTTTCCCTTTGATCCCGTTTACGGAGGGTCCTTCATACCCATCGCGGCCCTCTTCGTTAACGTACCCGGGCACTCTCGATTATTCAGGGGCCTTCATTCATTCATGCATATTGGTCGTGGATGCACACACACACACACATGCACACACACACACACACACACACACGCACACGCACACGCACACGCACACGCACACGCACACGCACACGCACACGCACACGCACACGCACACGCACACGCACACGCACACGCACACGCACACGCACACGCACACGCACACGCACACGCACACGCACACGCACACGCACACGCACACACACACACACACACACACACACACACACACACACACACACACACACACACACACACACACACACACACACACCTGTTTGTAAGCCCTCCCAAGTGGGGACCGCGCTAGACTACTACAGAGTGGGGACCACTTACACACCTCTTTAAACATGAGCTAGCGTTACGAAATTAACATCTTAGTGCTGCTGAAAACCCGAAGAGCGCGATGGTAAGCATTTCGTAGGTCTAGCGATAAGGGATCAACATCCGTAGGATGCTGCGAAGCGGGGACCAGCTAATATGACGTCAAAGGTGCGTCATACGCCTTACACTTATCAAGCTAGGGACCGGTCTCCGCATTGTAATGTGTATCTAAATTGCCCTCATTTATGGCATGGAAAGAAAGGGAATTTGGGTGATAACGTCGCTTCGGTCACGTTGGCGAACCAACTGACAGGGAAATGGAACTTGGTTGCTGATGCCTTGCCTGCACATCCTTTGTTTTGGAAGGAGCCGTGATATTTATGTTGATTTGTGCTATATCATGTCATATTTGTATTATATTGTATTATATTGTTATATCTGCATTATATTGCAGTACATACTGCTATATTTGTAGCTTATTGTAATGTTATGTGATGTTCCCATTATGTTGCATTATATTGTTATATTTGATTATATTGTATCATATTATGTTATATTTGACGCATGGCAAGAGCTACACGCAATTTTTCGGTTTGCAACAGATGATTTTCACTTTTTATGCCTACTTCTATGCTACATGTTACGCCTTGTTCATTACAGTCCAAAATTATGTCTCTTCGTCTGCGTTCGAAACTTTTTCCAAGAAGTGGACGCCAAAACTTTGTCAAGACAGGACGCACAACATTGTGTGCGAATTAAAAGTTGCCAAACTATGTGGTATTACATCACATTAAGGCGGTTGATTGCAAAGCGTGAATAATGCGTAAAATGAGAACAGTACAAAAATCTGAACCTCCATGAATTTTTCAACATTCCGAGTTCTTCCGCTGTCTTTTCATTATCCCTGTCTTTGGTACCTGGCCGGTACCTGTCTGACCAGCCCACGGCATAGATGAAGAACAATCACAATAACAAATCACTGCCTTGGTTAGTCAGGCGACGCCATATGACCTCAGCAGGTGAGTGCGTCGTAAAGCCCCAATGATGACAACCACGATCAATCGATAGTCCTGATCGACGATGAGCGACGAGTCCAGATCGACGACGATCTGGGGCAGGTCAGGTCAGTCAGCTATGCAGGTCACAAAATCGGTTTCAAACTTCTTGACATAGGTCACTACTGCAATCTGTGAGGCAATGTTGAGGTCTCCCGACGCGGGCTTTCTGCTATTCGTTTTAAGTTTTTGTGTTATTTCCATGTGGGGAGGGCAGCATGAGACAGCAAATCCATCAGTTCCGATCACAGTCCACCACAAACACACTCTTGTGCAAAAGGTTTCTTTCGTTTGCAAACGGGTCAAACAACCACACCGCAAAGCAGGGGTCGCAACATAACACAACAGAGGATCTAACGTCCGGAGCCTCTCGAGCTTGCAGGTAAAAGAACATAGCCACCGCAAGGCAGCGATTGCACACAACGCAGCAGGGGATCTAGATATGGAGCATTCCAAGCTTTCAGCTGAAACTACATTTCCATGGTACACTTGTGCTTCTGGATCACATTGTATGTACAGAACTTAACATCCTTCCAGGAACGCCGGCACAGTGCAGACTTCTCCTTCAGTGCCGCTAGGCAGTCTGCCATTCCTGGTCACTTCAGAGAACCGATAAATGGCTTCATGCGCCTCTGTATAGCCTCCTTTTCTCTTTCAGTCCACAGCACGCCCCTCCTTTTGGCTTTGGGCCTTCTTTCATTAATCCTTGGCCCCCTGGGTGGTCCGTTTTCTGCTTCAGCTTGGGGATCGGAAGCCATCCCTTTAGCGTTCTTCACCCCCATCTCCACTCCCATGTCGTCAGGGGCAATAATGCTAGCGCTGTCGTTTATGTCGACACTGGGAGCGGAACCACCTTCGACGACATCGTAACTGCTGGGGTCAGGTCATCCAGGGTCTTCCCTACGAATCCGCCGATCCCTTTGGCCATCGCGAGTAGTATTTTACTCACTTTGGCAGCATGCACCGTCTTTTCGGGAAGTCTATAGAACTGCCTGTGGACCCGTATGTCATGGCCCATAATGCGGGCCACGATATCCATTTCAATCTCGCTCAGTTGCAGCAGCTGCAGCATAGTAGCCACATGCTTTCTGTACTTCGTGACTGTGATGTTGTTGACACGTGCCCTCCGCGCGAATGTCCGCGCGCAGTCGCTGCCTCTGAGCATGCTCGCAACTGGGGCTGCGCTGTTGAAGAAAATGTGTGGACAGTCGAGAGGGATCCCAACGTCTTTCCTCGCTGCGATCAGCTGATCAAGCGCCCCTCGCATTGTGGCTGTCAGCATGATGGGCACATCGCCTCCTTTTTTGCTCCGAACCACTTAATCTCCCAGCGAATGGCATAGCTCTCGCTCTAAGGGAGACAGGTGCTGCAGGACATCTTCATTGAGAGTTTGGTCCCTTTCATTGTATGATCTGACCGTAGGCCTTGACGCTTCTCCCGGCCTTCGCCGGTTAAACAAAATGATGGATGCCAACGCAGTCTCCGACAATTTAACATAGTTCTTGATAGAGCGTTCCTCTTCCAACAGCCGCTGAGCCTGCACCAACTCATCCCGCACCTCCTTCGTTACACTCTAAACATCCGCATTGAGGGGAAGGTCGACGGGCTTATTCCACTTCCTTTCCTAGAGAGTGGTAAGCGCACGAGAAGACACGTGTAGCTTCCAATCTCGTTGGTAGAGCAGGAGGAAATCGTCCGCAGCCGTCCTCGGGGTGGCGTCTTCGTTGGTGATCCCGCGCGTTTTCAGTATGCGCGCGCATTCGCTGAGGCCATAACCAAGCTTGAGAGCAAGCGATAGGCTATGATATTTGCCCTCCTTCACACCGGCCATGTTCTTGACCGCGCCTACCACTTCCATGAACTTCGCGGGGTGAATAAACATATCTAGACCTGATCCTGGGCTTGATGCATTCAGCTCCAGCAGCAGTCGTCCTAGCTGCCGCATTTTTTCTCTGATGTGTGCATGTTAGTGGCGCTCGTGGCCCAATCTTGTGTATAGACGGACCCCGAACTCCATGATAAAGGCATCATGCCTGCAAGTGGACGAAATACTATCGTCTCGCATCTTCGCCATCAGGTTTTCTAAACCAGCCGCGGCATCTCTGTGGCACGACAGCAAGGATCTTCCCTGGGACTGGACTCGGCCCCCAGAGGCAGTTTTCCCATGGGCGTGGCACCGATGCCGAAAGAGGTCGCGTCTAGAAAAGACACCGTGAAATTTCCCACATGGCAGCATATCTTTCACGTTGACATTCATATCTTGGGGTGGACGCCTCCTGGGGACGATCGTTCCTCGCCCATCTCGGAAAACAGCAGTTATGTTTGAAGTTGCCTTTATGAATGATACCTTCCAGAGTGATTCTCCTCTCCCTTGATCCTTTTGGAAAGGCGAGCGCGTCAGGTACGTCGGGTTCTCGTTTATGCTTCCGGAAAAGATGGCGTGCAAATTTTGTGTGCAGGGTATCACAATAGGGGCAAACGTTCCGCTTTAGGGATGGCTTTCTTGCTTTAGGAGATTTTTCAACAGAGACACTGTGTTCGCCGGAAGCCCTACTGCTGTTCTTGGCCACTACCTGGGCCTCATCCTGGTCCTCGTCCTCGTTCTCGTCTTTGACTTCCTCCATATCCTGGTTCTCGTCCATATCCTTGGACTTGCCCTTGTCCTCGTCCTCGTCCATGTCCTCGTCCATGTCCTGGTCCTCGTCCTCGTCCGTGTCCGCTGCTGGCCGTGGGTCGGGGAGGTACGTACGATCTTCATCTTCATCGTCATCAGGAATGAGGCCAGAAGCATAATTATCATGATCTGCGGACAGACCGATCGCCATTGGTTACCTAATGACGAGTATTAAGCAAAAACGAAAACAAAAAACCAGAACGTTGGAAGCAGGATCGTTCGAGTTACTCAACGATGCGCTACAGTGCCAGACCTATCGGAGTTGCGATTCTTATGCCGAGGGGACCGAGACACAATGCGCCGGTGGTCAAAGGCGAACCAGGGTACTTTGGGCTCCGAAGCCAACGCCTTAGCCAACTAAGCCACATGGCCAAGTGGCTGTTTAACCAAGGGGACATCGATTCATGGGGCGTCGGTCTACTGACCCCGCTCGGTGCTAGGGTACGGGCAAGTGCATGGTTGGCCACAGTTACTCTGTGATGCCTACTACATGGGATCACGTTGGTGCGTGTGTCCATGCGTATGTTCAAATTCTATGAACAGTTTCCTTCATGGACGGAACAAAAATGTTCGTGATGACTGGTATCTTGGCAAGTACAAAAGAACCACTTTATATCCAACTAAAAGCAAGCAAAAAACAATGAAGACACACAAGCTGCAAAACGTTACGAAACAAAGCAATGAGCAAATTTCCCGCGCAGAGCAGTTGGGACTTGCAGCAATGACAGACAGTCCATGCCATGACACATTATTTTGTTAGGTGGTATCTACCACTGATCAGTTTTAAACCCAAAACAGAGCACAATCACCCTTGGTTGCTACACCTACTTTCAAAGGGCACTGTGCGATCTGATGCTCTCAGCTTATGCTGCTGCTCACGCTTCACTCATTGCTTTAAGAAACATTTTTTTAACCATGCACCAACCTTTCTCAAAATATGACCGGATTAGGCTCAGAGGCACTCTTTCTCTCGAAACCCATGTAGGAACTCTGAAATAAGTAGAAAAACGTGAGAATGCACGCCAATTAGGCAAGCAGAAGACAACTAGTGACCAGGAGTGGCACACGGAAAAACTTGAGGGGCCCTGGAGTGGCCAGAACGGGCCTTAAGAATAGTCAGATAATTCTGTATTTGTAAAATCAAGCAAAGAAGCGTTGGCTGTTATTCTATACGACCATTTTCTCATGCGCGAGGAAAGAAAGCATTTAGGAGACCCTGGAGTCACCCTGGAGACCCGTTTCACTACATTTCATGACGCTATTTTTATCGTACAATCATACCCTCGCCTAACGATCATAACACATCAGCATGGAAGACGTCAGGGCTGGTTGCTAGCATCGCCGAAAAGCCACGCTTTCCCAGGGCACGCTCATAGGTATAGACAGCTCACGTGTCTTTGGTTGCACCACTGCAAGACATGGGTAAGAGAACCGGGGATGAATAGGGGCAGGGGCTAAAACCTGCATGTTTCTGAAAATTTAGCATTGGTCCTTTGCGCGTTCACTGCAAAAATAGTCCATTGACTACCACCTTATGCTTGGTTGGGTAATGGGCCGCTGGGCGCATGGGTCGTAGGGTTTTCCACGGCACGCACATTGGTCATGGGTTTTGTCGAGGTCTTTGGAAAAAAGGGGATCGGACAGCCCGTTTGCCTCCGATCTCGGCACCGCCCATGCTCATTTTCAGGTAAGTATAACAATGTATATATCGGTTTATTCATGCCCTGAACAGCTATGCCAAGAAACGCACAGACGAAGCACTCAAGTCATTCAGTCTTTCATTGAATGTCTTAAAAATCGGCTCACGGCTGTTCAAACGAAACGCAATGCACGAGTGTCATTCACTGGGGTCCTACCAACAAGGATCACTTGTTAGCTCGATGAGATCGGGACACTGTATGCTCTTACCTGAAGCCACTAAACTTCACCAGTATAAACATGCCATCTTTGCTAGTGGCATGCTGAATAACTTCACACGGTGTGATTGGTGCCTGTAACAGTGAGCACGAGCATTTGTAAAACACAACGCATGTTCGTTGCCTTTTGACTGTACCAAACAGGTAGAGAAACATACGTTAAGCCGCGCGTATAGGAAACCAGACGTACGGGGTTCGATTTGCTGCCTGGTCCAGCCTTCCTGTCAGGGCAGACGCCATAAACTGGGAAGAGAAGGCTGACCACTGAATTGGGATTGCCTGCATCACAAGTCGGTGGGGAGTTAAAGTCGTCCACCGGTAAAGGAAACCAACCCCCTGCAAAAACACGTAATCCAGACATATGCGAGACGCGCGTCAAGATTACCAAAGATCAATCACGCAAAACCCGTCAAACCTGTTCACGTGTCTGTTCACACATAAAATGCATGAATACGATGTCATCAAGTCTGTGTACCAAAAATCTATCAGTTTCTGGAGTGCCACCTTTTTGGCCGCCATGCTTTCTTCCATGAAGTAAATGTCACTTTCCATCACAAGCCAGCATTACATCACTTGGTCAAGGGACGTTATTAGAAGCGAACACTTTATTCATCGCAGGTCTCCAAATCGCAAGGGCAAATAATACAGATTTAAGAGGAATGGCAAATGAATGGCTTTCTTAAAGATGGGTAGGAGACGGTAATAAAATGATGAGACGAATCCCACATTGCTTGTACTTGCTAAGTATTGTGTGTCGCGTATACCCTGAACCCACCACCAAAATAGCGTCATGTTTGTTTTCATGCCAATCAGACCCACTGACCCTAGTGTTTAGAGCCAGTACACCAGTTATGTCATATCGGTAACACCTGACCAGCCCGAACGAAAGACAAAGGCTTACTAAGTATGAAACAGAAGGCGTTTTAAAATGTTTCACTCGATCAACCCGCGCGCTTGCGTATGAAACAGAAGGCGTTTTAAAACGTTTTACTCGTTCAGCCCGCGCGCTTGCTAAGCAGTCTAGGCCGTTTATCTTACAATTTTGTAAATTGACATGCGGAAAGAATGACCATTCAAAGCATCAATAATTATTGGCAAGGTGGTGAAATACTTGAATCTGGCTGTCGACATTTCATAACTGCTAATGTGTGCTAAGGATGAACCAAAAACACCCAAGATTAAATGTACATCATTCTTCAACTTTTGAACAGCACTTTTGAACAGCACACCGGAACCGACGATCAAAGGCCTGTTTGGGGGGGGTGTAAGGGTCTAAAGAACTGACTGTAGGTCACGTAAAGAATCGCGGCCCGGAGGGTCGTGACTTAAAATACTACTCAGAGGTCCCCTTGCATCGTTTTAGGATCACCCCCTCCCCCCCTCCCCCTGAGACAATCGGTCCGAGACCACGAACACCGAACAGTCGGCTCCATGTCCGTCTGAGCCCTTGAGACCCATTTCCCAAGCAGAAACAAGGCCGGGGGCTCGCGATTTGTAATGTTCGGGGTCCCTGGTACAATGAAGGGCTTCTGTGTCGGTTAGGGGCCACCGTCTCGAACTGTGGCGGCAAGTGGCCCCGAGTCAGAGCGATTTTGAGGGGCCCAAAGAGGGGCCGAAGGGTCTCTCGACACCAAATATGGACCAAAGACTAATATAAGAGACCAAATACTAATATAAGATAAGAAGAGTCCGAAGGCTGGCTGTAGGTCACATTAAGGACCTCTGCCCGTAGGGCCGTGATCTCAAATGTA